GTGCTCTGCGTGCGTGTATGAAATACCATTGTGCCGTGCGTGTATGAAATACCATTGTGCCGTGCGTGTATGAAATACCATTGTGCCGTGCGTGTATGAAATACCATTGTGCCGTGCGTGTATGAAATACCATTGTGCCGTGCGTGTATGAAATATCATTGTGCTCTGCGTGTATGAAATATCATTGTGCTCTGCGTGTATGAAATATCATTGTGCTCTGCGTGTACGGAATACCATTGTGTTGTGCGTGTATGAAATACCACTGTGCTGTGCGTGTATGAAATACCCTGTGTTGTGCATGCATGACATACCATTGTGCTCTGCGTGTACGGAATACCATTGTGCTGTGCATGTTGAATGCGGACGATCGTCGTTGTCCATACTTTCCTTTCAGGCTCAGTTCCTATCGGCTGTTTCTACAAAACTCTCGGAGGACAATATTGACTTGCGGCCCTTGGCTATGTTCTATGGTTACTTCATCGGATCACCTGTTGCTGATTACAACACCCAGCAAGGTCGCCAGGTGTTTGTGCGGCACCTGGGAGCATTCTTCTGTGGCGACAATTTCCCGCGCTTTGATGGACCACCAGGTATGGCTTGCACGAGTGTGTGTGTGTGGGGGGGGGGGGGGGGGGGGGGTGCGTGCGTGCATGTGTCCGTGTGCATACGCTCTTGCACGCCTGTGATCCTCACCGATGATTCGTAGCATTTTTGGGTACTAGTAGCTTGCATGTAAATGAGGCTGGGTGGGTAAAGTTGGCCATTCCGCTACCAGCTGAGATTCATCACCATAGCTACTATCTCCATCACCATACTGTTTAATAGTAGTGGTCAAACGAATGTGCTAAACAGCGAATCGAACCTTCTCTGAATGTTCCTAACGAATACCGAACGAATGTCGCCCGTTCCATGATTAAGAAATCAGTAAGAAATTATAGCTACCAAATCATAAGTGAAGTTGCACACTGCAAGTCTGCAACAGAGACTGTAGATGCCATGACTCATTTATGAAGTGGACAGTGATGGTAATGTACCCCTTCGTTCGTCTGCTTGTCCACAGGTCTGTAGTCAGCGCCATGGAGCTGGCCTTTTCAAGGTTCTCCACCTAACCACTGCACCAGCAACTTCAGGCCCGCGACGTGCTTCCGCTGAATTAGCTTTGTCACTTGAGTCGCAGGTAGCCAGGCTCGGGGTAGTTCATGAGCGAAAGGAACCCCCGCACCAGTGACTACGCTCACAGGCCGAAGATCTCTGCACACAAATTCCACCAATCGGTCGTCGCATCCAGAGCCTCAGAGGATCTAGCCGCTGGCACTTTCTTTGCCTTGAAGAAGGCAGTTATCCCTCCGTCCTTTTTCGGTATCGCCCCTGCGCCATCCAAGTCGACATGGTGAACGTCCTTCAGATGGTTACGTAAATTCGTTGTTCCGCCATGATCTGCCAAGTCTTTCGGCGGCTTGCACCGAGTACACGTAGCAATATTGTCGTGAGAATATAGATAATATTGTCAGCCGTTATCTCTATTCCACAATCCCATACGCCAGAGAGCCTACTCTTCTCGGCCATGACGAACGTTGGGTGGATTTGATGAAGAAAGACTCAACGACGGCTCTCAGCAATAGTTATTATTTCAGACAGACCGTCGAGTGTTGTCACGACTAAAATCGCCTGTGGCACTGCACTTCCAGTTTCACAGCCGGGCGCGTGCACGCATGCAACGTTCAACCCAGACTAGAGTTCACTGCGCAGACTAGACCCACCGTATACGCGTAGTCTCTGGTCATGAAGACAGCGCGGCACGGCCGGCTTCAAAAGTAGACGTGTGTACGTGCTTGCATGCATGAAAATCGCTGCTACAAGTCCACAGTTCACAGTTTTGTGAGTTACGATATTCGTTTGGGCGGTCAACTTGACATTCGAATGTCGACTCGAGAACGAACGTTCGAAGCTTCTCAGCATTCGTACTCGAGAACGAACGTTCGAAGCTTCTCAGCATTCGTTTGACCACTATTTAATAGTCAACAAATATTCGGCGCATATCTATCTTTTGGCTATTTTCGGCCTGGTCATGTTTCGCCAAAAAATTGTTGCAGCCGAAATTTTGTTTTGCAAGGCTCAGTGTGACATTGTATACAGGCGGCAGCAGTATAGGCCGAAAATTTGGTGCGGCTGAAATGGGTTTTTGCCCTGGCAAGCCGATTTCTTTTAATGGGCCGAAATTTTGTAGAATTATGGTAGGTACAATCTCCATCACCATAGTGTGTGCTGGTATGACCTACATTGCATCTTGTGTTGGGCAATACAGTCGTCCCTCTCTAATCCGGCACTTGTTTATCCGGAACCCTTGCCAACCGGCGCACTTTCTGACGAAACCGATTTTTTTCGTTCGATTCCTACATCTTAATCCGGCACTTGAATTCCGCCTCCGGCAGTGACTTTTTGAAACGAATCGCTCAAACTGCACGTAGTTTGTTTTCATAATCCGGCGGTCGTAAATCGCGTATCGTACAGGTGCACTCCTTGCCAGGCCAGGCTAGGCCAGTCTGGTCAGTGCCGCGCGCGCGGGGCCACTTCAGAGTTCAGTTCAGTTGACTCGAGTTGCGGTGCCACAATCACTGCTGCAGACCTGACTGCTATATTTTCACAATTCGCTGACAGCAAGGAGTAGTGTGCTGCCAATTTTCAGGTGTGTGTGTGCGTGTGTGTGCAAGAGTACATGTGAACATGTTCTCTGTTTTACTTTATCACTTAATCACTGTGTATATTCCTGGAGAACAGTTGAGAATATAAAGCCATGCACCAAATACTTGGGTTGACACGGAAAAACCCTGCGTTTTGACGTATGATACATGCATACAATTGGGTAGGGCCGGGTCAGAGGGCAGGATTTCTTAATCCAGCACCCTCGTTAATCCAGCAGAAAACACCGTAGCAAAAGGTGCCGGATTAGAGGGGGACGACTGTACTGGTAGCTGGGTATGCTGATGTCCAAGAAAGTGTGTCCCAAGATGCAGTGAGCAAGACGGCTGTAGTCCTTACCCACGTTTCTAGTGTTTCCAGTACTACCGTCCATTTCAAAAATATAGACGCATGGTATTTTTGAAATATTTCAAATTTGGCTGGAGCTTTTTCAGAATTTTTTTCAGAATATTGCTCAGGTCCTTCCCACAATTACTCTCATATATAGATTTTTAAGCGATCAGATAACAAACGCCCAATTTCGAAATTCTTGTGCACAAAGTGATCACAGATTTTATGTGGTATAGATGCTGGCCTAGCGTTTTTTTTTAAAATCTCGCGTCGATATTATTTTTTTGAAATGCACTGTAGCATGCATTGTTGTTCTGATACTGCACTGCAGTTGGTAGCCTGGCTTCTCATGATGACGCTTATCCCTGCTGGCCGTGTGTGTGTGTGTATGTGTGTGTGTAGATTAACTCTTGTGTAATCAATGGTGCTAGTGAAGCTTGTATCAGATCCACTCTGATTTAGCCACCCACACTAGTAGCAAGTATTACCTTCACTGGGGGCAGGGGTAACTGCAGTTGGATCCCGGGACGGATACCCTGATGCCGTCAATCCTTTTTCTGCACCTTGTCCTCACCCACTTACTGAGGTGTGGTGAGCCCATAAGTGGGATCATTTTCAAGTCCACCCAGAGTTTTGGGGATTTCAGGGAGTGTCGGCCGTTGGGCGAATCAATAGCCAATTGAGTCATCTTTCCAAGATTCCTTTTGAGTCTCTCTCCCCTCTCCCGGGGAGACCCACGTGACCAGTTTTGGCAGTGAGCAACAAGTACAACAAGTGTGTGTGTGTGTGTGTGTGTGTGTTTGTGTGTGTGTGTGTGTGTGTGTGTGTGTGTGTGTGAGTGTGTGTGCTGTGTGTGTGGGTGCATGCGTGCATGTGTGGGCATGTGTGGTTGCGTGCGTGCGTGTGCTGTACGGCTTGTGTTGCATTGTGCGTGTGCGTGTGCCCGCATCTGCAGATAACATGTTTGCTTTGCAGATCTTCCTACACTTCCTCTCGTCTGATCGTCAAGCTAGAGCACCCACGAACACATCATCGGAGCAAGGCGGAAGTGTTCGCGATGAGACGTAAGTCTAATCTGAGCAGTTGATGCTTTTCTCTTTTTTCTCTCTCTCAATCATGTTCTACAAGTGTATCAGTCTAACTTTTGACCATCACTTGCTACTGAATTTGTTTCATTGCTGCACATGAGGAAAGATTTCAATCGAATGTCCGCACACCCCGTCAGACAGGCGGTGCTCGGCGTGTTGTAGCAAACCAGCCCACTCGGAACATACTCACAGCTTCATAGCTCACTAAACTTCTTTAACGGTATCTACCGTATTTCTCCGACTATAAGTCGCACCTTTTGACACTAAAATTCAGGGTAAAAAAGGGGTGTGACCTACAATCGAGCATGTCTTACTACTGAAGTGAATATATCAAAAGAATATTGCTCAAACCTGGAAATGGGGGTGCGAACTCTAATCGAGTGTGACCTATAATCGGGGAAATACGGTAGGTGGCATGGCCTTTGCTGGTATGCTACATGGAGTGTGCTAAACTAACATTCCAGCTAACAGACCCATACAGTGCCTGTAGCCTTTTTTATTATTGCCCAATCCGTCGAATGCTATGAAACGTTGTTAGGCGCAAGCACTCTAGTGACTCCTCTCTATATCTTCAGCGTGTCTTTTTTGGTGTCTGGCTAGAGGCAGGCCATGCTTGCTGAATGGATTGGCTGCTCTCTGAGGAAAAGAACAGACTTGATGTGATCTGAACTTAGCTTTGTAGTGAGCAGTGGAATGTGTAAGTTACCTGCAAGCTCAGTGTTGTGTGTGCTTGGTCGTTGTTGTGTTGGCAGAGAGGATAAGGGCAGTCCGTCAACCGGTGGCTCGGTGGATGCGTCCGACATTCAGATTCAGAACGAGATCATCAACGAGCTGATAGCGCGTGCAGCCAATGGCCGCCTGCGCTTGCTCTTCGCACCGGAC